AATTCATAAAGAAGACACAGCAATACAGGCAATGAAATATTAGTCAGTCATAAAAAGGAACATATGAACATCATTTTCAGTAAAATGTATGGACCTAGAGATTGTCAAATTGAGTGAAGATAGCCAAAGAAAGACAAATAGCACATGATATCACTTATATGCAGAATCAAAAAGAGGTACAGATGGAGTTATTTACAAAACAGGAGTAGAAAAAAACCTGTGGTTACCAGGGGATGGCGGGAAGGATAAATTGGGAGATTGGATTCACAACAACACTGTATATATAATGGATAACAGTAAGAATCTGCTGTAAGCACAGGAGTCTCTACTTAGTTCTCTGTAATGATCTGTATAGGAAAGGAATAAAAAAAAAAAAAATAACCAGAGTCAATGTGTATGAGTTTAACAGGTTTACTTTCCTACACAACTGAAAGTAATACAACGTGTAAATGAACTATAATGAAAACTTAAAAACAATAATAAAATACCACAGAGTCATTTCGATGACTGGTATATGTCCTTTGAAAGGACAAAGTATATGTTCATTTTGATGACTAGTATATGTCCTTTGAAAGGACGAAACAAAGTGCTCCAAACACAATCCTGCAGCCAGCACCAGGAGGGTGGAATTCCTGTCCATTGTTCTCAGCTTAACCACCAACACCTGGCATGTTGTAGGTGCTATGTAGAAAGTGAGCCTCTGTGAGCCCCAACCTACTTTGATTTATGCATTTTGCTATTATTCCGACTGGGCTTCCCCAGTGCCTCAGCACTAAAGAAACTGCCTGCAATGCAGGAGGCACAGGAGATGCAGGTTTGATCCCAGGGTCGAGATCCTCCAGAGGAGAGCATGGAAACTAACTCCAGTATTCTTGCCCGGAGAATCCTATGAACAGTGGAGCCTGGAAGGCTACAGTCCACAGGGTTGCAAAGAATCAGACACCACTGAAGCAACTTAGCACCCACACATTCACTACTCAGACTGGGTCAGAAGTCCTCTCCTGCAGGAAGCTGGACATGAATGACAGTCCCAGTTTACCCTACTTTCAAATGGACTACAGTTGGGGGATGAACTTCTTTATGAGTATGAGCAAAGTGGAGGGAAAGGAATGGAGAGGATGCAATATTCTCTAACAGAAAGGCTCAATTAGCATCAGATTAAAGACAGTCCCAAAACCACCTGACCCAGAGTCAAAACCAGGATTCACTTGTGAAGGGACTCAGAATCATAAGTCTGAGAGGAATTGCTCACTGGGGCTGTGTCTAGCTGCAGTCCTAATGAACAGACCAGGCATGAGTTGTCCTCTTCCTCCCTCCTTCCTTCAGCAGGACAGGGCCTGGCAGCAATGGAAAGAGCTCGGCAAAAGCTAGAGCTCAGGGATTTGTATCAGCTGAGCAGCTTAGAGTAGCCGGAACATGAGGTCCATGTGGTGAGTGAGACTGGAACAAGAGGGGGTTTGGGCCACCAGTGGGGAGCTTGAGCTCAGGCTGAGCTGCTTGAGCTGAGTGTCAAAGTTATAAAAAGCCATGGGGGGATTTTAACTAAAGGGGGAATGTGGTGGGATTTATCTATGGAAAGATGGGCTGGGGGTAGACAGGAAGTGGGCTGGGTAGAGAGAATACCTTTTCTCTGGGGTTCTAAAGAGTTGATACCAGAAAGAGTTCATCAGTCACATCTCCATCAGGTATTTATTGAGCATCTGGTAAATACAGACAGAAAAGGAGGTGGAGGGGGAAGCCTCAAATGAGTAAGCAATCTGATGCAGTGGGAAAATGCGAGTTTGAAATTAGGCCAACTGGTTTCAAATCCAGGTTCTCAATGTGACACTGGTGGTGTTGACAGCATTCTCTCCTCCTCCAAACCTTGGGAAGCTGATCTCTTTCTCCTAGGAGGAGGGCTGGAATGGACAGTGCTACTAGAGCTGCGTAAACAGGGAGAGATCATTTCCTTCTACCTCTGACCACGAATGGTTCCTGCTTCGCTTCCCAGATTTGATCTGCTGCATAGTCTTCATTGGCTTCCTGTTCACAAGATTCTGGATGATCAGTATTCTGTATGCGATCTGGTGGTACCTGGATCGAGACATGCCATGGCAGAGGGGCAGGCAGAGTGCTTTCATAAGGCACTGGACCATATGGAAGTACACGAAGGACTATTTCCCCATCTCGGTGAGTATGGGGCTGACTAGGGAATGGTCAGGACCATAGTCCCCACGTGTCCATGGGGATGTTTGACCCTGTGTGCAGTGAGCAGAATACTGGGCCAAGAGCAGGAGACAGGCTTCTACCGCGTTGTGGCTAGGAGAAGAATCAGCTTTTGTCTGACTATGGTTGTCTGACTACAGTGAGGTGAGGCCACTATGACAAGTGATGAATGAATGGGATTTGAGGAACCTTGTAGGCCATGTAGTGCAGAAGGAATCTGTAATGAAAACAAGCTTTTCAGAGCATCTGGCTGACACTTAATCAGATGATGATACTGATACACTGATAGTGAAGAAGGTCTGAGCAAGGATATAGAGTGGGTTCTTTTACTGCTTTTAAAGTGTGTGCATTGGCTCTGAGAATAGACACAGAGCAGAGAGCCCTCAGGATGTATCCTGACCCTGTGTGTTTGATATGATATGTGTCCTTGGACAGAGCTTTGCTTATTCTGAATCTCAGTTTCCCCAGGGATTCACTAAACAGTCCAGTTCCTCCTCTTCTGTCTATCTCTTAATCTCTGATCTCTGGCTCACGGTACTTCATGTCCATTTTGTACACTGGACCCTGGACCCAAGGATCACTCCTTAGGGATTCAGGCCCCTGAATTTTAGTGAACTGACTTTTGCTCCATTCCTGAATCCCAAACAGGCTAAACCCTTGGATGTAAGCAGTTGTGATGGTTGATTATCTAGTGGGGATTGGAAGAGGAAGGCAATGAGGACACAGAGAGGAGCCAGACAGGGACAGGTGGCACTTTCTGGACACAGAAGAGAAGAATGTATACGGTGTCACCTCTGGGAGTGAACATCATAGGTGTAATACGAGTCTGCAACATGTCAGTTGTATGACCTTAGGTGAGTTACACATGTTCTCTGAACTTCAATTTCTTCATGTGTAAAGTGGAAATGCTGCCACATGAATCATTGGGTTGTGTGGATTCCATGAGACATCAGGTGATCCTGGGGCTTCTGAGGACAGCATCTGGCTCTCCTGTGACCCCTGGAACTGCTGTCATTTGTACATCTGGCAGAGAAACTCTGCTGAGTGCCTCTGTGCCGGTCTTATCTGTGTCTTCTCTGTCACCCCTGTAACCAGGTATCTCTCCCGGAGTGTTTCTCACATAGGACACTATTGATATTGTGGAAAGCATATTTGTAGAAATTTATGAGCACAGCTCAGGATTGTAGGCCACTGCAGTCCTGTGGCAACAACAGCTGCAGATGGCGGGCAGTATGACCGAACGGCCAGCAGAATGAAAGATGACATGCACTTTCACCTCTTGGTCCTGGACTTAGGTCTGCAGGAGGTGCTGTGGCTCACAGTTTCTGGACTCTTGTCACCTCCCAGGACAACTTCCACATCATCCACACACCTTAACGGAGCAGGCCTTGCAGGGATCTTCGGTCAGCAGTAGATAAGGGGGTCAGGGAGTCTCTGCTGTCTCCTGGAAACAAGTGTACAACCTCAGAGTTGTCAGGTGTTTTGTTCTGAGGCCTTACTGAAGTCTGTATTCAGAGATAGCCTCTCAGAAATCTCTGAGGAGCTATTTTAAAAGGGATGGGAGAAGTCAGTACTTACAGGGCTTTGTTGGAAAAAACAAAACAACCCATGTAGCTAAACATCAAAAGATTACTGCCAGTCAAAAAGCAGACATCTCCAGTGAATGATTTTCATGTTTTTCTACATATGGGGAGATACAAAACCTGAGCTCACTGCAGCTGTCCCTGTGATGTGCATGCTCACTCTCTGTGACCAGTATCCTATTTTCTTCCATCCTAAATTCCTTTCGAGGCTCATTGTCAGTTGCAGCTACAGTGGTTGCTGACTTGAAGGCAAGCAAGCAACATTCCTTGTGCTAACAATTCAGCTGGGGTACTCCACTCACAGCCCTTTGTGCTGTGATTCTATGAGCTAGCGCCTAATGGTCGAGTTTCTAGTGAATTTAGGAGACTACTTCTGAACACTGGAGCTTTCTAAATGCACCCTATGGGCTTCCTAAAGAGGTAATGGTGGAGAATCAGGCAGTATTTCCCTGAGGACAAATGATTCCCCTTCATCCAGAAGATCATTTCAGGAGCTGAGTTTCTGAGTAAGATTTCATATCCAGGAACAATAGTGTCTACACAGGCCAAGGCCTGAGCAGGGGTGCAGTGCTGCGGGCAGGCTGTGACCTGGTGTCAGGAAGTGCTGCAGACTTGACAGGACACCTCCCTGACCCCTCTCCACCCATACCTGCAGGCATCACTAGAGACTGCATGGCCCTCCTCCCAACCTCTACCTTCAGGAACCTGGGGTCTCTTACACTGAATTACAGGGACTCAGGTTTCCAGCTCTTTACCTGGGACAGAACTCCAGATACCACAAAACTTGCTGAGAGGGTCACTCCCTCCTCTGCTGGCTCCTTCATTCTGGTAGGGCTCTGCCTGGGATAAAGTCTCCCTTCACATGGGAAAATGGCTTGTCTCCAGTCCTCTACCCAGGAGTCCTACCACTGCCTCGGACAGGGGTCTTCCTTCCCAGGCAGGGCGTATTGGCCTCATCCTTTCGTGAGTCTGTTCTCTCCCTTTCGTTCCATAGTCTCCCTGAGCATCTTCTCTGCTTCATACTTGTACCGGCATCAAGAATCCTCAGACAGGCAATCTCTAATCAGAGGACACTCACATGGGGTTTGATAGCACTTCAGCACAGGGGACACATAGAAGAGGTCAGCACAGAAACTTAACAAGGAGACCGGAGTTTGGTGTTGGAGGGGGGAGTGGCTTCAGCCCCGATTCACCAGCTTGCTGTCCCTATAGCTGGTGAAGACTGCTAAGCTGGACCCCTCCCAGAACTACGTCGCTGGCTTCCACGCTCATGGGATCCTCACCACTGGAGCTTGTACCAACCTGTGCACAGAGGGTACGGGCTTCTCCTCGGTTTTCCCAGGCATCCGCTCACATCTGATGATGATGCACTGGTGTTTCTGGGCCCCTGTCTACAGGGATTACATCATGTCGGGGGCGAGTCCTTCCCCTCATTCTATCCCAGGACTATGAGGGCTGAAGACATGAGGAGGGATTTTTAATGAGAATGGCCAATTGATCTGACTTCTTCCAAGTGAATGTGTAGTAGATAAGGAGATGAGTCCCGAAGAAGCATTTCTCATAGCTCTGTGCTCAGTGATGAACTTGGCAGGAGTGTTGGGAAAAGGGGTAGTGCTCAGTGCCTGTCATCAGGGTCCTCCCAGCTGGGAAGTGGGGGAGAGCGCAAGTCACATACTCCTGAACCATGCTTGCCACCTTCACACTGTACGTGACCACCTTCCTCTCTCCCCAGGGCTGGTCTCATCAGACAAGGAGAGTGCTACTCACATTCTGAGCAGGAAAGGAGGCGGCAACCTGATGTCCATCATTGTTGGGGGCGTCCAGGAGTCACTGAACGCCAGGCCTGGAGCCTACAAGCTGGTGCTGCGGAACCGCAAGGGCTTCATCAGGCTCGCCCTGACACACGGGTATTGGGGAGAGGGCTCTGGGTTCACCTGGAGATTGGCAAGGACTGTAGTTTGGAGGGAAGGCTGTAGATGCAAATGCAGATCCTATTTTGACAGGCAGAGTCTCCAGTCATTAACAAGGAAGATTGTATGTTGGTGATAGATGCACTGTCTCAGGCCCACATACGCAGAGAAGATTCTAGAAGGAAGATTTTGTAACTAAAGGGATTAAGTCTCAAAGGTCATATTGCTGAAAGCTTGCATTATATCTGAGACCTAGAGAATCTGGGTGAATGGAGTTTGGGGAGTAGTAAAGAGCTATTCTCCTTTCTTTAAATATCCATGAAGAATACAAAGTTAACTGGAAGAGATTTTCCCAGAAAGTCTGCCAATGTTTTTTTATGTTGGAGGATTCTCAGTAGTATTCTGGTTTGTCTCTCCTGAGCCTGTAACTGGAAAGGTTTAATGTAGAATTTGTGCTGGACCTGCTTCTGTGAGTTTAACCCTCATCTTGTAGCTTTTGTTACTGTAGGAACACACAATGGGCTGCCAAAGGAAGATAACCTGAGTTGCCCACCTGTAAAGAACTGTACAAAGAAGATCTTCATGACCCACATAATCACGATGGTGTGATCACTCACCTAGAGCAGACATCCTGGAATGTGAAGTCAAGTGGGCCTTAAGAAGCATCCCTTATGAACAAAGCTAGTGGAGGTGATGGAATTCCAGTTGAGGTATTTCACATCCAAAAAGATGATGCTGTGAAAGTGCTTCACCCAATATGCCAGCAAATTTGGAAAACTCATCTGTGGCCACAGGACTGGAAAAGGTCAGTTTTCATTCCAATCCCAAAGAAAGGCAATGCCATAGAATGATGAGACTACCGCACAATTGCACTCATCTCACATGCTAGTAAAGTAATGCTCAAAATTCCCCAAGCCATACTTAAACAGTACATGAACCATGAACTTCCAGATGTTCAAGCTGGTTTTAGAAAAGGCAGAGGAACCAGAGATCAAATTGCTAACATTTACTGGGTCATTGAAAAAGCAAGAGAGTTCCAGAAAAAAACATCTACTTCTGCTTTATTGACTATGCCAAAGCCTTTGACTGTGTGGATCACAATAAACTGTCAAAAATACTTAAAGAGATGAGAATACCAGACCACCTAACCTACTTCTTGAGAAATCTGTATGCAGGTCAGGAAGCAACAGTTAGAACTGGACATGGAACAATAGATTAGTTCTAAATAGGAAAAGGAGTACTCAAGGCTGTATATTGTCACCCTGCTTATTTAACTTATATGCAAAGTACATCATGAGAAATGCTGGAGTGGATGAAGCCCAAGCTGGAATCCAGATTGCTGGGAGAAATATCAATAATCTCAGATACACATATGACACCAGCCTTATGGCAGATAGTGAAGAACTAAAGAGCCTCCTGATGAAAGTGAAAGAGGAGAGTGAAAAAGTTGGCTTAAAGCTCAACATTCAGAAAACTAAGATCATGGCATTTGGTCCCATCACTTCATGGCAGATAGATGGGGAAACAGCGGAAACAGTGGCTGACTTTACTTTTCTGGGCTCCAAAATCACTGCAGATGGTGACTGCAACCATGAAACTAAAAGATGCTTACTCCTTGGGAGAAAAGTTATGATCAACTTGGACAGCATATTAAAGCATAGACATTACTTTGTCAACTAAGGGCTGTGTAGTCAAGCCTATTGTTTTCCCAGTAATCATGTATGGGTGTGAGAGTTGGACTATAAAGAAAGCTAAGCACTGAAGAATTGATGCTTTTGAACTGTGGTATTGGAGAAGACTCTTGAGAGTCCCTTGGACTGCAAGGAGATCCAACCAGTCCATCCTAAAGGAGATTAGTCCTGGATGTTCATTGGAAGGACTGATGTTGAGGATGAAACTCCAATACTTTGGCCACCCTGTATGAAGAGCTGACTCATTTGAAAAGACCCTTATGTTGGGAAAGATTGAGGGCAGGAGGAGATGGGGATGACAGAGGATGACATGGTTGGATGGCATCACCAACTCAATGGACATGAGTTTGGGTGAACTCCAGGAGTTGGTGATGGACCGGGAGGCCTGGCATGCTGCGATTCATGGGGTTGCAAAGAGTTGAGCACGACTGAGCGAGTGAACTGAAAGGACTGTAAGGAAATGAAACTAACACATTCCCCTGCCTGAGGCTCACTATTAGGGGACATTTGCAAGGATCAAATAGACTGTTTAATTTATTTCCTCACCTATATCCCAATCTATGATCCATAATGAACTTGGCAACCTGGCCCTTTACCAAGGTTATATAAAAGCACTAGCCTGCCATCTTCTTGGTCAGCCACTCCGAATAAAGTCCCTTCCTCATCCCAACACTTTGTCTCAGATTCACTAGCCTATCTTGTGACAAGCAGAGTGAGCCTGGACTCAGTAACAATAGAAGTGCCAGTCATTGGCCCTTAGAAGAGCCATGACCTGCCTGAACTTCTGAAACAAGACCATGGCAGGTCTGGGAGACACCCGAGGCCTCCTACTTTTGTCCCAGGGCTCTGTCCTCTGTTACAGTTCCTGCTCACTAGGTCCCTTCAGGAGGCTAGGGAACCAGCTTATGCCTTCTTGCCCCTCCACATGCCCTCTTTCCTGTCTCCCTCTAGGGCAGATCTGGTGCCAATCTTCTCCTTTGGGGAGAATGACATATATGACCAGGTTGAGAACTCTCCTGATTCCTGGTTGCAGTGGTTTCAGGACCAATTTCTCAAGAGCACTAGAGGTTCCATCCCTCTCTTCTATGGCCGTGGAGTCTTCCAGTACAGCTTTGGTCTATGCCCTACAGCCGACCCATCACTGCTGTGGGTGAGCCTGGACCCTGGCTGGGAGGGGAAGGGCTATAGAGTAAGAGGCCTGGGCTTGTGCTGCAAGGAGACCTTGACATAGAGCAGTACACCCTTGACTTTGTGGAGCACACTTTCTGGTGTGTAAAACAGACACACCGGCAAGTAACCCTATGAAAGGCAGTCTAGAATGAGAAGAGTAACAGGGGCACAGCGGCCAGTAGCCACTACTGATTACTGAGCCCCTGCTTGTGTCAGGCACTGCACTGGCTCCTTACATGCAACGGTTTAGTTTTCCCAACAACTTGTGAGAAGGGACACTCATCCCCATTTTATTGATTGTAAACATAGACCCACAGAAAGTAAATCACTTCCAAGAGATCACCCTGCCCTTGATAATAAAGTTGAGGTTTGATAAAGGTATTTGACTTTTTATTATGCAAGAGAAGGAGGGTATAATTCTGACCACACGGTCTAATGACAGTAATCAGAAAAGGTAGATACAAGACCTTTGCAGGTCTGTTAGAATTGTGTGTAAAGTAGCAATCAGCAGGCTCCGAAGGAGAGCCAGAGGGATTTCCTTGTAAATAATGGGCATGGGCTTTATTCCATAGACTTAGCACCATCTTTCAGCTATTTGCTTTCTTATTGAATTCTAACTAGTTTCCAATGGCAGTACTAATAGAGCTGTTCATCTCTACTCACCCAGTCCTTTCTTTGTTGAGTACAGGCAACCCCCTCTATCAAACTTTCTTTGCATTGTGTGGTGCATTCTCATGAATGTTTACAGTGCTGCTACCTCCAGACCAATCACAGAGGAAGACAAGGCAGCTGCTTTCTGATCTACCTCCTCCCATAGACACAAGCTCTTCCAATCATGGCATCTGAGAATCCCAGATTCAACTTTCCCTGAGGCTAAGCACACATCCCCAGGGTTTACACCCTGGTACTGATTTTTCCTGGCTATGTGACCTTGAACAAGCTATTTAACCTCCCTGGGCCTCATTTCCTAAGGAGTCAAACAGGAATAATACCAGGTAATATCCCCATAGGATTGTTAGGATAACATGAGATAATGCATGCAAATGCCAGCTGGCTGTATTGTTGATATATCAGAATCTTGAAGTTGGCATAACATCTTAGAATCTGGAATGAAAAATAGAATTAAAAGGAAGGGAGTTAGACTGCTTACCTGCTTAGATGACCATTCTAGTGGGAACACCAAGGTCCTTTTGCCTTCAGTGGTTCCTACTCTGGACCACCTCTCACCTCTGTGTCTTGCAGTGGGGAAGCCCATTGAGGTGCAGAAGACACCACATCCCTCCCAGAAGGAGGTGGACAGGCTTCACCAGCGCTACATGAAGGAGCTGGAAAATCTCTTCGAAGCCCACAAGCTCAAGTACAAAGTGCCCAGAGGCCAACACTTGGAGATCTGCTGAGCACGTCCCCAGAGGAGTGGCTTCTTCAAAAGGCACAGCTGACATTAGGGAGGGTGGAGGGAGGTGCTGGAGTTTATGTGAACAAAACTGTCGTTTAATGTCTTAAGCACTGATACTGGAGTGTTTGTTAAGCAGTTGGCAACCCCATGGATACAGACAGCCAGGAGCTACAGAGCAACGGTCCAACACTACACAGCACCTGCTACCTGACAGCCCTTTGTGTCCCCAGTCTGCCCAAAGGGACTTGCCCTTGTGAGAAGATCTCCCACCAACACACAGGCTGACTCAGATAGCCTGAGGAGCACAGGAGCTGTCAGGTATAGCAGAGAGACTCAGAGGCCCTCAGGATTGGGCAGAGCTGGAGTCTCCTCCTAAAAGCAGGCTGCTGTTGACCTGGAACAAGTTCTTAGACATCATGACCCACAAGGGACAAAGGACCTACTGAGGCCTAACCTGGTGACACTCCTAGATGATAAGGAAGTGATAGTTGACAAGGGGTCAGTCAGCACAGATCTGTCAGCAAACCATGTGTGCTGGTCAAGACTCACCCTCTCAGGTGGAATGGACTTTGCTAGGGTCAGGAGATGGGAGAGGTGGGAGCGTGGGAGCTGTGAGAGAGCAAAGGCAGAGAGGAGAGAGTGGTCATAGCACATGTGGGTTAGACTTCACCTAAGAGTCAGGTCAAGGTGAGGTTTAGGGAACATGAGGCCAAGGTTTAGGCCTTTGTGCAGCAAACATCTATGGAGATGGGAGTGGGCAGTGCAGACAGGGTCCCTGAGAATTACTGGCTGCTGTCTGGGGGACTACTGTCCAGTCCAAGGGTTAGGAATTCATCCCCAGAAGGCCTTGGAGGTGCTTGAGCTGGAGCGAGCCATGGACCAGATAGAAGGGCAGTGGATGCCTCAGGATGGACTGAGAATCTGTCTTAATGACCCCACAGCAAGGCAGAGTCAGCTGCCTGAGCAACGTGCTAGTGAGCACCTACTACGTGCTGGGCTCTGGGTGGATGCTCCACTAATTAACAGTGACCTCCACATACATATGAGGTTCATATCAGAGGTTAAAGACATTTTTAGAATCCTGGTCCCATTATGAAACCTGTCTGCCCAGGTGTCCTGCTCTCACCTTGCCTACTGTGTTCTCAATCTTGGGAAAAGTGTACATTGAAAACACCAGTGGCATCAACTAGGTACACACTCCCATCTACATGACACTATCTGCTGGCTGCATGTCCCCTCACAATACTTATTCCCTCCCATCTTCACCTATAAATGATTCATCCATAACTGAGGGTCCAATCAATGCCAGCTCTTCCTCATCCTTTCTGTTCATAAATGCTTGGGAACGGTTTTAAAAGACCTGAGCCAGTTTGTGTCAAGCACCAACTACCTATGGAGTTTTCTTAGACTCCATATCTTTCTCTCACTCCCTACCAGAGAGCTAACCTGAATGTTTCCTTCTTCTACAAGTTGAACTTGTGCCATGTCTGTCAAGTTACATCCCTAGTGAGAGAATGAATAGACACAGATGGGCAAGAAGTTTCCTTCTCTCAGCTATATTATGAGGGGTTCTGAATAGAATAAGAACAGAATCAAACCCTGGTTTTATCATTAAATATCAATAATGAAGAATTAAAAGGGCCATCTTCCTCAAAAGGTGTTAAAAATGTTAGAAATTCTTGTTCGAATTACCCTAGATTAGTGGGAAATATTACCTCAATATCTTATGTTAAAGGTCCATATTTTTGTACTATTTCATTCTTCTAATCTACCACAGACTAAGCTATTTTTAATTTTTATTTTTGTTGTTGTTTTGGTGCTAACTTGTGTCTAACTCTTTGTGATCCCATGAATTGTGACCCACCATCTTTATCTGCCTATGGCATTTCCCAGGCAAAACTACTGAACTCGGTTGCTATTTCCTTATCTGGGGATCGTCTCAACCTAGCGTCGATCCCGTGTCTCCTGTATTAGCAGGCAGATTCTTAACCACAGAGCCACCCAGGAAGCCCATCCATTTGAAAATACAATATAATTTACCCAAGAAATGAAGAAAACAAAGGCAAGCCATTTAAATCCAGTTTTGATTTATTAGTTTCAATACACATAGAACTACTGTACCACATCTCTCTATGATTCTAAGCAGTTACTCTTCATCTCTGTACTTATCTTGTCAAGAACCAGTAACAGGCAGCTCATGGGCAAGGCAGGTCTTCAGACCACACAGGAGCAGCACTGCCCCACGACAAGTGATGCTGCCTGGTTGTTGGCCTGTAAAGGTTGTTGTGAGGTGAGGGACACAGAATCCCTGGTGGACTGCTGAGCACTGTACATGGGTCAGTCGGGGCCATCATCTTAGACCCTGATACCTGGTAGGATGAGGGGCTCTGGGAAGGGAAGTGTCTGAAGTCACACAGCTGGCAAGCGACCAACGCAGGACTGCCCTCATCTCTCATCAGGTCTCTTCCAATCTGCCTTGAGGGAGGACCCTGGAAAATGCCTCCCAGATGCACCTTCAAGAAAGAGGGGTGGTCCCAGTTGCAGAGCTGTCTGCACAGGGTCAACTGATCCTGAGACAAATCCAGGTGGGATGTCAGCCTCAGTCACTTTAGCCCAAATCAGGACCATTCTGATGGGCCATTTCGGTTCACCTTTGTCCTCTGCACAATTCCACTGTCTTCCTTCCTCATACATTTTCCAATAGGAGGAAATGCAATGAATGTTGTATGAACATTCAATGTTGTATGTTTGTATGAACATTTGCATGGTCACCATTTGTGATGAGGAAATAGAAATGAATACCTTGACCTGATATCATTCTACACACCAGCAAATAAAATGTCTGACTACACAGAGAGCCAGAGAAGAGATATATCTGTGGACACTGCATATATTCCATGCAGAGTCTACATGGGTACTACAGTTTTGTGTAAAAGCCTGGCACTATTGCTCTTTAGCTTCTGCAATCACATACCCAGCAGTCCCTCTGGCTTATGAGTCTGTGGGAGGAATATGAGCACAGGGACAAGGACCAGAGAGAATGTTGCCATCGGAGTCCATCAGAGTGGCTGGCTGTGGTGGTGGAAAGCAGCTTTCCATTGCAAGAGACATTTAAATCACAAAAGAGTAGAGCATGAACTTGTGATGAAATAATATTCAACTGACTTGTAAACATTTTCAAGAATACTCACCTCCATTAGGAAAGCACTGTAACCACAATGAAATTTCAAAGGCACCTAGGCAATCAACCATGAAAGGCAGAGTCCTAAGCTCTGGATGACCAGGATATTCCCTGTGTGACCACTGTGGAAAGCTCTGTGGCTATGTGGAGACTGTAGCATGGGCAGGTGAGGGGAAGTCAAGTTCAGTTTTAGACGGGCTGTGATGGAGGTGCCAAGCAGGCTGTGAAGGAGGTTTTCAAGTAACCACCTACTTAATCAAGTCTGGAGCAAAGAGGAAGGTCAGGGCTGGAGATGCAGCTTGGAATTGTTCTTCCTGTAGGCAGACTCCAAGGCCATGAGCCTGGATGAGGTCTTTATGGGAGAGAGGGTAGAGTGAAGAGAATTCCAAGGACTGAGGGGACAGAGGGGCCCTGAAACACTTATTCTGATGAAGGGTAAGAACCACCATGGAGATCCAAGGGCAGCCAGAGGGGCAGGAGGGAAACCAGGAGAGTGTGGTGTCCACAGACCAAGTGACTTCAAGAAGAGGGAGGATACAGCTGTGACTGAGGCTGCTGAAAGTTCAAGACCAGAGCTGAGAATTGACCATTAGATTTAGCAGTTTGGACACCAGTGGTGAATTTGTCAAGAGCAGTTCCATGGAACAGTGGCATCTGAAGCCTAGAGGAGGGAGGACAGAAGGCAGGGGAGGGTGTGGAAATCAGACGGCTCTTCCATGAGTTATGCTATCCAGGCAAACTGAGGAAAAGGGCAGGAGATGGAGGAGATGGTGGGGCCTGAGATATTTATATGGGAGCTGGTACTGATTAGTTGTAAAGGGGAGCCATGAACCTGGTAGGTGAAAGGAGACAATAACTTAGTCAAGTAGTTGAGTAACAGGTAAGAGGGCAAGATTGCCCTATACTTGCTGCTTCACTTGCCAAGTAATGGGCAAGATTTGAGCAAAGATGATCTGGTAGATAATGTATTGCCTGAAGAGTCCCTTGTACTTCTCTATCTCTGTAATAAATTAATCCAGGTCAGGTGAGTTAAAAGATTTCACCTAGGATACTGGTCTCTACCAGGGTAGGTGCAATGAGATTTTAGGGCTGGCTGGACATGCTACAAAAACACCCCAGCCCCAACAAATGCTTAGCAACCTCTGGCAGCAACAAAAACCAGCAGGTGTCTCAGACCACACTAGAGCTCAGAGAAGCCTCCAGTGGAAGCAGAGGAATCAGCATGGTGGAGTTTGTATCCTTTTTTGTGCCACTAGAAAGCAAGGTGCAGACCTTCGCCATCCTGCAATTGTTCTTCTCCTACTTGGCCCTGCGTAAGGAAAGCTGAGATGTATTTGGGAGGCCGTGGGCACCTGCCGCTTCACTGCACATGGTGCATTGATGGGGGAAAGTCCTAAAGTGGATGCTGAGCTCAGTGCCTGGGGATCACCTGGGGTGAGGGACGTCTTGCTTACATGGCCTTGGGTGAGCTTTGCCAACAAGAGTTGTCTGACTCTCCGTGCCCACCTCAGCCCAGCCTGGGGCCTAGGAGTGTCCAGAGGAGGGCAAAGAGTCAAGTAACTTTGGGCCTGCTGCTCAAAGAAGGGCAGCTGAGAAAAGGCATCCAGACCCTCTGATGCCAGGAACATAGCTTCTACCTTGTCCCTTATCTCAAGGGCAAAGGGGATCCCCAGGATGGCTTTAGGTACAGGAGTGACAAGGTCCAATCTGTGGGTGACAAGCTGTAATTTAGGGATCTTCTGTGTTGGGGTGTTGGGGGAGACAGATGACAGGGAGTAGCTGTTAGCAAATTAGATTTGGGTATGCATGTGGGAACACAG